AACGCCGGAGGGCTCCCAGTAGGTGAGAGGGGGCAGGCTGGGCTGAGGGACACTCCCCCCACACACACACCAAGTGCACAAATTTCGTGCACCGGGCCCCTAGTAGTGAATATAAGAAGGAATCATTTAGCTAAAAAGAATTACTGAGAAACACTGAGGAAAATGTAGGGATTACATAGGGAAAGTTGGTAATCAATCAAAGCAGTTTCCTATGACATGTCCAGATATAAGAATGAATATGATGGAAGTACCTTACTTCTTCTTGAAAACACAACATGCTCACACATCAATATGCTCAACAACACACAAATTCAAACTGAGAGCGATTCTACACAATACCTGTCTCAGAAAATGTGTCACCATCTTGATGTGTATGGAAAGACTGATAAAGGATCACAGATTAGAAAAGATTAATATTGAAGAACATAACACTAGGAGGTACAATAACTATATGCCAGGTGAGATTTTGAATTCAGTCATGGATTCCACAGGCAAGGAACGTGTCCCACCAAAAGATCAGATTCCTACTCTCAAGGAATTTATAATCAGAGGAGATGGTCACTGTGGTACTAATCACAGTGTCAGATCAGATGAAAAGGGTGTTAAATTAGAAGTTTAAGTCTGAGGAGTTACCGATTTTCATTGAAAGGACTGCAGAAATTCCAAGACAGAGATGGCATTTGAGCATAAAAGAATGAGTTGGCTTTTTATAGGAAGAAAAAGGAAGTTAGGGTAAACCAAGCAGCAGAAATAGTGGAGCAGAGGCAGGGAGGTCTGAAAATTGCCTATAGGTTTAGCCAAAGCACAGGATGGGGATGACAACATTGGTAGATGAGCTTGGAGTGTGGAAGGCTAAAGAAGTTAGATTTCCTTTTATAGCCTCAAGGCAATAACTAAATGTTCCTGATGAGTGCTAGAACCACAGAGTTATATTTTAGGACAATAACACTGAGGTGTGTGGGATCTGTGAAGAACTTGGTATTCCTATTCCAAGGATCCAGGAAGCTTCTAGGGGTGGAATTAGATGCAGCTAATGTTAGGGGCCCTGGTCCTGCTTTATGGCTGGTCCTTATAGTGGGTGTGGGGAAATGGTGATCTGTAATCCCAACAACATTGAAGTAAGGAGGAAAGTTTGGGAGTTAACACTTTCTGTATTGAAATCCCGGACCCCATCTGGGGAATGCAGCCGAGCATTCAGAAAGGTCAAACATGACAAAACTCTGGGTCAGGTCAGGAAACACTAAATTGATGAGTGCAACCCGGAGTGGGGGTTGGGTGGGGTGGGGGAACACAGTGACTAAAGGATTGGGGTACAGGGTCCAGCCCTCAGAGAAAAGACCTGGCAATGGTGAGACAGAGCCCAAGTCAAACAACATGAGGTCATGGAGCACTGGCTTTCTAATTAGGTTAGGAAATGAGGCACTCTCCTGAGATTGCTGGCAAAATCCAGGGAGGGAGGGATAAGGAGAGCAGACTAGCTGGGAGGCATGTGGTACCCAGGCTTCTTCTAGGCAGAGGGAATGCCCCCCTGACAGCAGCAGGACTAATGCCCACAGCACTGAGGCTACTAATATGAATGGCACCTGAGATTTTGACGGGTTGTTTAACAAGGGAATTTGGGCCCCACAGACAGACTGACACGGCATAAAAAACAACTATTACACTTTGCAGCTCTTTTTCAGCACCAAGAAATGTTCACATACCCACCTCTCCCTGCTCCTTCTCCTATCCCTCAGCTTCCCCCACCCCTGGGCTTCAGGGCAAGCTGCTCAAAGTGCAGCGGGAGAGAGGCTAAAGCGCAGGGATGTCCATTGCCTGTGATACTGAATAAACAGTAGTAACTGTTTAAAGCGTTTGCACATCTGGGCCCCTCAAAACCTAATAATGAATCTTCTAAAATGGCTGACATTCATTCTGTCATGTTTATTTGCTGTGGAAGGTAATTAAACATCAACCAGAACTAAGGGTTATCCATGCCTTATGTCTTTTATGCCTCACCACAGTCAGATGAGAAACACTATTACAGAAGTTAGTGAATGACTGAGGAAGTTGTGCACAGCTAAGTAGTTGCACAATATCACAGCGCTGGTAAATATAGGCCTGGCTTTGTACCCGAGGGACCCAGACACACAATGTGTCATCTTAACCATTACATCACGCCGATTCAAAATGCCTTCCAGTCAAACCATTGCCTAAATTGTTGTGAACAGAGCTAGGTCAGATCAACAGTGTCAAAATATATGTAGCATGGCCATAATCACTGCCTTGCTCTGGTCTGACAGAGGAGACAGGGAAATCAAAATACGTGGCTTGAAGGCCTCAGGTGGGCCCAATGCCAGGGAGCAGCTGGTCAACAGGTGTTGACAAAAAGGACTGAAAAAA